CAGGGTACGTTTCTAAAATTTACCTCACCCAAGTGCTGTGAGCGTTCTGAAGGCCCACTGTCCATCTCCACGCTTAGGTCGCCCGCAGACCATGTGACAGCATCGTCCTGGGCCAACCTCCCCCCTTAACCCAGTGAAACCCCACTTCCTGCTAAACCTCCTGTTGTCACCTGTCACTGGCTGTGGACTCGAGGCTCACTGGCGCCCTCTTCTGGTCAGGGGTGGAGCTGCCTCTCCTGGAAACCCCTCCTCTAGCTCCGCCTCTCCTGGCCCCTCCCTCCTCTAGCTCCGCCTCTCCTGGCCCCTCCCTCCTCTAGCCCCACCTCTCCTGGAAAGCCCACCCCCTGTCCCCCAGGGAGGGTGACATCCCCAGATTCCTCACCTCCTCCACAAAGCGCTCCCTGATCTGCCAGGTGGATCTGGGTCTTCTCTACTATTTCTGCCCTAGTTCTGTTTAATGATCCTTTCTACAGCGATCTGTCTGCCCCGACAGAGGGTACCGAGTCCCGTGCAGCTCCACGAGGGCGTCCCCCGTCTGACACGGCGCTGCATGGGGGTGGGGTTGATGGATAGGCAGATGGATAGACTGGGGGACAGAAGGGTGGACAGACGGATGCACGGGCAGAAGGGGACAGGAGCAGATGGCTATAGCAAGATGGGTATGTGGGCAGATGGATGGGAGGACGGATGGACCAAAGGCTGGACTGGATGGGCAGACAGACGGATACGGGGAGAGGGGTATATGGACAGATGGGTGGGCGGACTCCAGAGCTCCGCCCTCGGGCTTCTGTATCCTCTTGTCTGGGCGGGAATCCCCCGGGCTGCGCTCGGAACTGCTCCAAGCGTTGTGGAACAGGAGCTAGGGAATGGTGATTGACATTTGAGGCGCCCTGCCCACCGGACAGCACACTTCGGAAATGTATTCTGCAGAAGTCAGGCTGGCGGGATACAGGAGGGAGGCAGCAGGGAGCCTGCGGGGACACTGTCTGCGCTGTGGAAGTTGGGCGGCAGGGCCGCAGGGATCCAGGGAGAGGCCTCGCCTGCCTGGCCTGGCCTGGCCTGGCAGCGGCTGGATCACCCATGGCACATCACCCCACAGCTGTTCCAGGAAGACGCCCAGCTGCCTCCACCTACCTGGGTGAACCTGGGACACCTGCTCAGGTTAACAGACGCCGCCTCCTTGCCCAGGAGAGAATGAGTGGCTCCAATTTGGTAACAAGCCTGCATGTGTACTGTACATGTTTGCATACATTTGCATAAACAGTATCAAAAAGATGGACTTGGGGCGAGATTATGAGTTTTCAGGGAACTCTGTCTCACTTGTAAAGTAAGCACGTGATCGTTCCCTGATGAGTAAGAGGAAAACAGCCATCGTGAAGTGTGCAAACTCCAGGTTTCTCGCTATCTGCCAGAAATGGGGCGGTCACCCACAGGTCAGAGCCGAAGCCAGCTGGGGGTGGGACCCTGCACGGCCCACCCGAGCCCCAGCAAGGAGGCAGGCTCTCGGGGTTGTGAGGAGGACGAGACGCATAAATCCAAGTCCTGTAAGGACTCCAGGCCCGGGGCTCATCGGCCTCCCCCCACCCCTCAAAGCTTGTGGGTTTGGCATTTTTGCTAACTTTCTCTGAATTGCATTTCACCACCCGAGGTGCCAGGTGCCGGTCACACCCTTCAGCACCCCCGGACAACCAGCACCAGGGCTCCCAGACCCCTCCCGACAGCGTCTCCAGCGACTTCCTGGCTTCCGGGGACAGGCCCGCCCCTGCACCTGTCCAACTTCCTGTCTCTTCCCGAGCTGCCTGTCATGCTATCTTGCGTCTTGATGACAATCCCGCCGAGCAGGCCTTAGTGTCTGCCCGGGAACACTGGGACCAGGAGTCATCGCCTGCCCCAAGCATCAGTGCCGGCACGTTCGCAGGGCTGGCGTCTGAGCCCGGGTCGGCCTCGGCACCGGCAGCCGCGTGCTGACCAGCAGTGGGAGGGAGCCCAGCCTCGCAGCTTAGGACCTGGGAGAGCCACAGGGGCCCCGCCCAGTTAAACCCCAGCTGGGCCTTGCAGCAGCTCCTGGGCGCGGGGCTGCCAGACTGTCTCAGACCATGTGACTCCTCCCAGGGCCCCAGACTATTCTAGGCTGGTCCTCCCTCGCCATGGCCAGGCTCTGCTGACGCGAGCAGGATGCCAGGGCGGGCGCCGCGTGCCCGGGAGCAAGCCTGCCCGCCGGCCCCTGTGGACATGGCCCAGGCAAGCTTCCTCCCTCCTCCTCTCCCTGACTCCTGCTGTGCAGAAGTATCGAAGCAGCCCCGGCTCTCACACCACAGAAGCCGCCTGCCTCAGTTTCCCTAAGTCACCTCCATGACTCCCCAGTTGTGAAGCACTCTTGGCAGTATTAGGGCTGAGACCCTGCAGAATTCCTGGACCGCAAGCCAAGGAGATGCGGATACGCAAGGGCACAGCCTGATGCGGTCAAAGGCAACGGGGCCGTGAGCGTCCCACACCTGCCCTCCGCCGAGAGCCAAGGGCAGCCTGTCAGGTCCCTGAGGCACACACAGCTGTCTGCCCCAGGCAGGCAGGCACCCTGGGGGTCTGGTCCCAGCCCGAGGGCTTCCACCGCTCTGCCACCTCCTGCCACCGCCCCAGGCCGAGCCTCCGTGGCGCCCTGCACGTCCGGGACACAGAGCCAGGTGTGCCTTTCTGCTGATTCAAAGTTATTTCTGGTCCAGCTGCTCCAGCCTGGCGTCCGCGGGCCCAAAGGGCACATGGCAAGCAGGAGGAGGACCCGTGTCAGCTTCCCAACCAGAGCGCCACCCCAACACGGGACGTCCTTGGGGCTGGCCCAGATCCACGGGACACAGCAGATTCCTGCGGTGCCAACCTCCCGGGCCCAGGGAGAGCAGCTGTGCCCTCCCCGTTCTCGGGCAGCAAAGGGCTCAAGTGACTCTGTGACCGCTGGGCACCCGGGCAGCCGTAAGGGCACCTGTGACTTGTCCGTCGTGCAGGGCCAGGAGATGTTGCGAGTCCGCCCTTCCTGGGTTTCCTTGGGGTAGACTCAGGACCACGGCAGGTGCAGCTCTCAAGGGTCAACCATGACCTTGGAGACCACAGGAGCCGGGGGTCTCGCAGCCTTTCCGGCTGCCCCTTCCCCAGCCCAGGGCCCCCAGGCAGGGGCAGGTGTGCCCTCCAACAGTCACCCACAGCCGGCCCTCAGCTCGCTCCCTGCCACTCCCTTTGGGGGATAGCTGAGGCCCCGTGGCTTCGGCATAGCCGGGCCACACCTGTCCAAGAGCCTTTGTGGCTTAGGCCACCACTTTGTGTCCCACTTTCCAAGCCCCCCCCCCCCTTAGGGACACTGACCTTGCCCAGGGCCCATTCGCTGGGCACGTGAGCAGCAGAGCCCACGGGGTGCCCATGGCCCTCCTGGGGCCCGGCTCATAGCTGCCTTGCACTCGGGTGCCTTGGCAGAGGCGGAGTGTGCTTGCCCACCCGGTGATGCCCGGGGCTGCCTCCTGGGGGAGGTGGACTCCCTCCCCTCGAGCCAGGGCAGAGAACACGCCAAGGACACATGTTCCCCACGGGCAAGGCCGAGCTTCCTTGTGCAGATGCCCGTTCACGTGGTGTGGCCGCGGTCTCAGAGCAGCCAACGGTCGCGGGCAGCCCTGAGGCGCTCCTTTGGCCCAGGTCACTCCGCACAAAGCAAAGCATCCCAGGCGGCCAGGGTTCGGGAGAGGCCGGGCAGGGACCCCCTGAGAGCCACCAGCAGGCCACTGGCCCCCTGAGTGGGGGTGGGCTGCGGCCGCTCCCAGCACTGCTGGCGCGTTCACCCAGGTCCAGCTGACGGGCCTCAGTAATTAACCCGCTCCTAAGGAAGGCCTCGCATTTTACTTTCCCGGTTGGTTCCTTGCGAGTTTTTCCTCGCACCTCTTTGGGTGATGTGCCGCAAAGACCTTCTTCCCTCGGAAGTCGCAAGGGAGAGCCAAGCCAGCCCCAAGGCAGGAAGCAAGCGCCGTCAGAGCGGGCGCAGGGCGGGGTCCTCCGCCCACGACTGCCCCTCGCCGGCTGCGCCCCGCCACCCTCCCCCAGGCCCTCACCCGCTGCGCCCCGCGGCCCCGACCCCCGGGCCCCTCTCCCGGGCTCCAGCAAGCCGCCCACCACCCTTAAGCAGCCTCACGGAGCCACTGACCTTGAAGCCGGAGTCTCTGGGCGTCGTCCTGCCCAAGTGTAACTCGAGCCTACAGCCCGGCCTAAAAAAGGCTCGGGACGGGGCGGGGCGAGCGGCCGGGCTCAGCCAATCCGGGCCCGGCCCCCGGGCGCACCTGCTGCGCCCGCCGCGCCCTTGAAGGTCGGACCCAGGCGAGTCTGCGGCCTGGCCTGGGCTCTCGGGAGCACCTGCGCCGTCTCTGGGGCGTTCCCTTCCCCCTGGCTTCCGGGAGGGCTGGAGGGGGAGTTGTTGCTCCTCCCGTCGGGAGCGCAGTCCCGGGGCTCGGCTCAGCTCTGCAGGCCGCGGAGGCCCGGCAGGAGGGGGCGGGGAGGGGGGGTCTGCAGTGCCCCTCGCCGGCCGCCCTAGGTCCAAAGCCCCTGGCTGCGGGCTGCGGCTGGATGCGGGGACAGGGACCGCCTCGCTCGGCCTCCGGGAGGCCAGCCAGGTCACATCCCTGCTTAAAAATAGCCCGAGCACCACACACCGCGAGTTCGCCCGCCCGTGGGCCGGTGGCTGGGGCGGCGCAGGTGGAGCCAATAATGCAGCGCCCACCTCGCTCGTGCCCTATAAACCCATGGCAAAATTTTATACTCGACCTGGGCCTGAGGAGCTGGTCGGAGGGCGCGCGGAGGGTTGTGGGGGAGGGCGGGAAGGTTCTTGGGTGGAGGCGCACTTAGTGCAATTAATTTCCTTCTGAGCTGCTTTTCCCGCGAACTTGAACAGAAAAAGCATCGGCACAGCTGGCGGCTGTGAGGGAGACGGTGCGGAGACACGCGGGCAGGGGAAAGAAAGACACCGGTGCGCGTTCCAAGCAGTCACGAAGGCGAAGTTTAATCTGCATACAGGCATAACCCACACCTCCCTGGGCAAGTGTTGGGCCACAGGACAGACCCCTCTGCTGGAAGCACACATGTGCAGGGTACTGGACACACGGTATGTGTCTCAGACTGACACGTGTCTGCCACACACACAGATACTCAAGAAATACGCTTACATCTTCTGCGAGAGTGACCAAGTCACCTGTGAGGTCAGCGCGTCCCCGTCCGACCCCAGGTGCCCAGCAGCCCTGGGAGGTGACCGCTCTGCCCACTCGGCCGCTGAGGCAGGCACCAGCCCCAGGCCTTGGGCGGTGGGCGGCGACCCGGGCCAGCTCCAGGCAGGGATGCTCAGCGCCCCTTCAGAACCTGCTCCTGCACACAACACCCTGGGGTGCACCAGACACCGTGGAGCCATCAGGTCAAGTGCAACCGATGTCGGGGGCGTGCTGGGTGGCGGCTGCCCCGAGTCACTCTCTCAATCACTCGTGATCACGCCTACAAGAAGCCACGGCTGCTTTCCACGCCGGTTCTGCCCTGCCTTCGCTTGAAGTCAAGCTCCACGGTCAAGTCCGATCTCTCACAGCAGTGGAGACGGGGGCTATTTGGAGATCCCTTCTGGCCCTCCGTCATAAAGGGTGTATTATCTTTTATGCCATTTCAATAGTAGTAAAAATCATAAACTTTGCAGGTTGGGTTGAAAACATTTTATGCTTTCTAGCAAGGGGAAAACTTATTTTCAAGGGGGAAATGCCATCCAACTTTGAAAAGAAATGCAAAAGAAAATGCTGTGCTTGTAAATAAACATTGGTTTCCCCGAGATGGCAGTCTCCCAGGGAGACTCTTCTAGGAACTTCGTACCTCCCGCTCACTGCTGGCCCCGGGCCTCGTCTCCCGCAGCAGCAGGAGGGACACCTGCGCATCTCAGTCCACGTGGCAACAGGAGGACCCCACTGGTGCGTGAGGAGTGCTTAGGATGCACTGGAGTTTAACCAGCAGTGAAGGCAGGCTTGGTGCCAGAGCACCTGGGAGCCTCGCAGCCGCGGCCACGCTTCCCTCTCTGAATCCCCCCCGAGGGGCCCCAAGGAGGAGCAGCAACGTTCAGCGTTCCACCTCACCCCTGAGTCGGCTCGGGTGAGAGCTCTGGCCTGTGGCCACCCTGGACCAAAGGCATCCTGCAGGGGTGCTCAGGGCATCCCACTGATGGTGCAAAATCTGTGTATCCATCTCGCCCTCACAGCATGAAATGCGATTTGACCTCCAGGTTTCTGGGTCAGTGGTGCGGTGCAGTACGCACACTGGCTCTCGGCTGCCACGGGCTGGCCTCCCATCCCCTCCTGGAATCGGGCCTCGCAGACCAGAATGGAGGAGACACCCCAGGAGTGCACCCACTGGGTGCCGCAGGCACATGCTGAGAGGGCGGGAGGGGCTGGGCACCTCGTCAGGGAGAAATAAAAACACCACACGCTGCTCCCGGGGAATTTAAATGTGACCAGATGGAGCCTTCAGAACCCGTGGCCCACAGAAGACACAGGTCCATAAAGGGCCTTGACCCAGGGGGAGCTGGGGTGCTCTGGGCTCAGCCCCAGGAAGCAGCGCTGTCAAATGCTGCACGGTGGCAGAGCAGCTGGCAGTGCCCACAGCTGACCACTGGGTGGCGCCTCCAAGGCCCCATGCGGAACAGGGCAAAAGCTTTGTCCTTGGAAAAGCTGCATTCCCAAAGGGGAGGCACATCTGAGAATTCTTCCCTTTCCTGTTTTTCTCCCACAGGAATGGCTGCAGTGCCCCTGGAACATTTGCAAGGGAGAAGCAGAATCCAAACTCACATCTGCCCCCACCACCACCACTTACAGGTGGCGGTGACCCCGTGGTGACCCTGTGGCTGTCAAACGCACTCGGTGCGTGGTCCTTACACGGGTTTCTCTTGGTTTCAGCTCACCTCCCAGGAACACTGATCCCTGCCAGACGTGGCGGTGTTTGGTGTGAGTGGCGTCTGCCATCTCCAACCTGCAGTTTCTGAGCACTGAGCAGAGAAAGTTAGGCATGGGTAGAATCCGGGCAGCCCCTGCCCTTGTCATCATGCATCAGGATGCATCAACCTCTTATTGGAAGCCAAAGAGAAACAAGCAACCTTAAAAAGAACATCAGGTATCAGTAAGGAGCCCGTCGCGGGCTCGGTGCTGTGTTGTTGGATAACAGAAACTACTGAAAATATTTCCGAGTCCTTAGACTGCGATGACTATTTCGGTGACTGATGTGGTAGTTCAGTAGATAGCTGTGTTCGGAGAGGGCCCCTCTGCAGAAGCTATGTACAGATGGCCGCTGAGGCCGGCTTTCCACCGGCTCTCGAGAGCCAGCAGTGAACTCTGCCAGTCGGCCGTCAGTCCTAACAGCATCGCTAAAGTGCAAGGAGGGGGAACAGCCGCAGAGACCCTGTGCCCAGGTCAGGTCAGCGAGCGCCGTGCTGCTTCTGAGACGAGAGGCCAGGTGCGGCAGGCTCGGCTAACAAGAGCTCCGCTCTCTCTTCCTCCTTTGAGAGCAGCAGTCTCCCTGAGAAGAGAGGAGGGAGGTGAAGGGGGACATAGCCCTATTTCTTCAACACCTGCCACTCTCGGGAAAGCTAAGGCCACTTCCCGGGCTCCAGGGAGCGGGAGGAGCCCCTGTGCCTGGCGCTCGGCAGGTAGAGCTGTGGGGCAGCAGCGCCCCTTCTCCTCGCACGTGCAGTGTTCCCGCTCAGACACACCTCGGCATCCTCTCAAACCATGGGGCCTGGGTCGGGGAGCGCTGATCCCCAGCAGCACGTGGACGAGTGAGCACTCGGGGAAATCCCACTAGCAGTTTTATTCTCTCTCTCTCTCTCTCTCTCACACACACACACACACACACAGAGGAAACGCTGACCGTGGACCTACAGAGGTCTGTGTAAATCGAACAAGGCCCCATCCTACTGGAAGGGCGAGAGGAAACCCGCAGAGCCAGGTCAGAGGCGACCCCAGTAACGTCTGCCGCTCCGCCTGGAGACCCAGTGCACCCACAGCACCCTGTGGCCTGCTCTCTTGGGCCACAGTCTTGTGGGTGGGGCTGAGCGTGCAGCTGCCTCCCCAAGGAGGTCGGCTTCTTTGGGACTGGCAGACTCAGGAAGAGGCCCCACCCCGCCTTTGCCCCACCACGGCCTCTGGCTGCAACCCTCTGGGGTCGGCCGTTTGTATTTAAGAATGAGCCACACCGATGGATCCACCTGTTTTCCAGCGTCTCCTTCCTGTCTTGCTGCCCAGAGACCGGAAGGCAGCTTCAGAACAGGCCGGCTCGGCTCTGAAGACTGGCCATGCACCGAGCGCCATGCACATGCGTGGGCCGGCCGCCCCCACTGCCGAAGCCTCGGCACTGCTGGGAAGCTCGCAGCAAAGCAACTGTGATGGCAGCCGTCGGTCCTGGAGCGCTGGCAGGTGCACCCAGGCCAGGAAAGTGCCGGGAAAAACACTGCGCATCTTTCCCACGGTCCTCAGCCCCGGGGTCTAACAGAGCTCGGGACAGGGTGGAATTCACATTGTCACCGGCTGCAGCACGACAGCTGCTGGCGCCTCCCCGGGTCAGACATGCCACCAATCAACACCCACCATACCCGTCTCTGCGCCTCCCCACCCCGAGTCTGTCTGTAACCCAGATGGCTGCGTTTCTCTCTGGCTGGAGGCAGAACCCCAGCCTGGCTGCATCTCTGTGGGTGCAGTGGGAGACTGGCGGCGTCTCCCCGTGCCCGCTGCCTGGCGTGCCGTGTGCATGCGTAGATCTGTCCGTCCCGCCCTCCGTGACAACGCTGGGGCATCGCGGGCAAGGCCAGGTCTTCAAGCAGGGAGTCGAGGCTCAATCTTGAGTGACAGCTCGTACAGCGTCTCTTCGTCTATGACGAGCGCTTTGTCCAGCAAGTACTGAGTGACCTGGGAAGGGAAGAGCCCAGCTTTGACTTCTGCCTGGACACAGGTTTTCTCGCTGGAATCTGAGCGCTGCGACATCTCTCAAGCACCCACAGCTTTTATCTAACTAACCATGAACGCACAAGGAGTCTTCAAAACTTCATGGCAAATGTGGTGCGTTATGCGAAAACTATACGTGGCTTTCAAACTTTTTTCAAACTTTTTTTTTTTTGACAGGCAGAGTTAGACAGTGAGTGAGAGAGAGAGACAGAGAGAAAGGTCTTCCTTCTGTTGGTTTACCCCCTAAGTGGCCGCTGCGGCCGGTGCACCACACTGATCCGAAGGCAGGAGCCAGGTGCTTCTCCTGGTCTCCCATGGGGTGCAGGGCCCAAGCACTTGGGCCATCCTCCACTGCACTCCCGGGCCACAGCAGAGAGCTGGCCTGGAAGAGGAGCAACCAGGACAGAATCCGGCGCCCCGACCGGGACTAGAACCCCGAGTGCCACCGCCGCAGGCGGAGGATTAGCCTAGTGAGCTGCGGCGCTGGCCTCACAATTTTTTTGCACCAAAATGAACGTGTCTGTTAATCCCACTCTCCATGAACTTTCCAAAGTCCCCCTGTATTGTCAATGTAAAACCCAGAACAAAACAGACAGAATGTCTCTAGTCTCCTCCCATTCCGCTCCCCCAACTCTGGCCCCCTCCCTCCGGGATGCCACCGTCATTCCGTGTGCCCCCCACCCAGACGTCTGAGCACGCACTTTCAGAAATCGCCCCGCCCCCAGTCACACAGGGTCTAGTCCTTACACTGCATCCGGCTCTGCTCTCCTGACTGTGGGCTGTGCACAGCGCTCACTGCTGCAGTACCCACAGCGCGGGACAGCGGAGGCCCCTAATGCGGCTGCTGCCGCACGGCGCCTGCCTGCTCCCCAGTGCTCACGTGGGAAGCCTCTGCCAGGGAGATAGTGGCGGGGAAACGGGAGGAGAGGACCCTAGGAAGGAGGCTCTGGGGGCGTGAAGTGTTTCCACGAAAATGTCGCTCTGCTGAGAGAGAGCGTACGCGTGTGCAATGATCGGTTTGGGCACTGTTGACCAGCGCCTGCCCTCATGTGACTTACGTATATACTAAGGTGCTGGGACGTGGAATGAAAAGATGAACTTATTTTGGTGCAAAAACAGTTACTAAAATCCAAGTGCAGAAGAGGCTGTGAAAAAGCTCACAGAAAATCTGTGTTACCAAAAAAACCACGCACGGATTCTACAAGTTTTGCACCAATTAATTCCATTTCCCACCAACTTTTGGAAGTATCCTTGTACTGCATTCCCCCGTTAGGTCGCCTGGTGCACCTCTTTGATCAATCTGCCTCCCAAAACAGACTGCTACCAGGTGTTAACTCTGCCTGGTCTAGAACGTTCCGTGAAGCGCAGAGCGGGCAGTCTGCTGTGCCTGGCTCCCTGCACTCGGCACAGGGCGCTCCCTGTGGAAGGGGTCAGGACTCTGCTGCCCCTCCCTGCACAGCGACACTCCTCTGTGGACGCTGGGACCACCCAGCCGCTCGGGAGGCCAGCTGTTCCTAAATTCTGGCGATCAGTATTGCAAAATGTTTAACTGTTCTCCACGAGGCTTTCCGGGGGCACGTTCTGAAGAGAAGTCGCTGGGTTGCAAGCTAGGTGCACAGTCAGCGCTTCCAGCAACCTCCAAGGGGCACGTGTTCCCAGCGTGGCTGCACCGCTGCACTCTCCCCCAAGGGTCCCAGGTGCTCCGCGTCCCCGTGTGTCCTTGCAGGGGACAACGTGAAAGATGAGAAGCAAGCAAGGGCTCTGAGCCCGTGGGCGCTGCCTCCGGGACGCCTGTTCTCCCACACCCTCACTACCACCGCACCTCGTCTTCCACTTGTGTCAGTCTGACGCGTGAGGGGGTTCTCACCATATCTGCATTTTTCTTTTCACTGGTGAGGCTGCCATTTCCCACATGCTTGTCGGCCATTTCTGCCTCTCTGTGACCTGAGTTCTGTCTGCTCTCTCACAGCTGTATCCGTATGCACTTCCGTTGTCTCCCTTGCTGCTTCCTAGCCGCTGCTGGTATTTGGAGTTTGAGTACCTGACTGTTGTCACAGGAAGCTCTCTGTGGGGAGCAACTCGGACTAGACTAAGTTACTGGAATTAAGACTTATTCTATGCATCTGCTCTCCCACAATATGGCGCTGGGAGAGGAGTCAACAGCTTCTACACAGCTGCCTCTCGCCAATTTGATTGACTGAGCTGCAGGACCTGCTCCTGATTGGAGGAGAGCAGCGTACTCGGCGTGTGGGCAGCAGAGTTAGGATTGGTGGAAGAGGACTATAAAGGAGGAGAGAGACAACATGCACCAGGAACATCTATCTGAAGGAACACCTGAGCAGCCCCCGAGAGAGCCAGCCGGCGGTGTGCCGCTCCCCCGCGGAAGTGGGGAAAGTGGCAGGGGAACCGCCCTTCCACGGAGGTGGAGGGGTCGGCAGCCAACCCGGGAAGAACCAGCAGCAAACCCGGGGAGGGCCGAGCAGACGAAAGAACAGCGCAGGGTCCTGTGTCGTTCCTCCATGAAGAGGGGGAGCGACAGCTCTCCGTGTGGGTGACCAGGCTCGTCTTCCACGGCTTTGGCGTTCTGTACCTCAGAAGGCTTTTGAACCCTGGGAGTCCTGAGTTTCCTGAATTCAGATCAGACGCACCTCTTCCCTTCTAGGCTTGGGGAAGGAGCTCATGTGCACTCGTCCCTGTGAACGGCACAGAGGGGCAGCTCCAGCCTCGCTCCCGCTCAGCCAGTGGTCGGCTCCCTCCTGCCGCTCTCCGGCGCCTCGTGATCCCGCATCCGAGGCCCACACGGCTGGTGTCTGCGCCTGCACTTGGCTCTGCTCCACCGCCGCTGCAGCTCTGTGCCGTGCGGCCCCGGGCTGTGGATTCCAGCTCCAGGGCACGCCAGTCTCCTGTGCTGTTCCTATCTCCCAGCTCGCTCTCGGCGGTCTGTTTCCCTCCTCTTTCCTACCCACCCTCCCTTTTGAGCTTTAGAACAACTCTATCACGTTCCACTCACAAAAAGACGTAGATTTCAGGTTCAATGTCATGAGTGTACAGGTTACTCTGAAGGAAATGGACATGGGCCGTGTGACATGTACACTGCAGGGCTTCAGGGAGCTCTGTGTGCCTGGCACTCGGGGACGGGACTCTGCTGGACGTAAGCAGATCAGCAGTGGACAGTGGCAGGCAGGGGGAAGAGGAAGGGGAGGGGGAGGGGAGGAGGAGGGGCAGGGCCATGGGGCGCAGACACAGAGGATGTAAATTCGAAGGAAGGCAAAGTCGAATCCATCTCCCTTTTGCCTTCTTGCTTCTCTTCCTGGTCAGACGCACTGAGATCTTCTACTGTCTGAATCTGTGTGCCGTGTGCCAGCTCTCCGCACTGCGGTTCAAGCCTACCACTGCTTTCTAATTCGCTACCCTCTTGGTGAACTCCCACGCACGCACACGACGGTACCTTTGGCTGATGGTCTATCCGGTAGGAAGTCTGCTGGAACTGGCGTATCTCTCGGATGATGTGTGAGATCTACAGGAGCAACGGCAAAAGAAAGCAAACGCATTTCCCCAAGTCCAGCCCATTCCTGGGCCCCGCCCAGGGGAGCGCAGCCCTGCCCCCAAGGGCCTCGGTGACCCTGGCTTGGTCATGCTCTACGCCCACGGCTCTCCTGCCCTTCTAGGCGCCACGTGGAACACCGGGAGCGAGAGGGAGCTCAGTGCACAGTCAGGGAACGGCCGTCAGAGCGGGGCTCAGGCCTGCAGGGGCAAGTGCTGGGCGCTCTCGGCCACGGGCTCCTCGCTGCTAACCTGCAAGGAGCTTCTAGCCTGTCTGTCACTGTGTGTCTTAGGAGATACCCAGGCTGTGAGCCGAGAGCGTGCGGCTCCAGCCAGCATCGGGCCAGGCGCCTGTGCTCGCCGCCTGGCCCACGCTGCAGTGAGCAGCCAGCCCCGGCTCCCGCCTACCATTCTCATCTTGGAGAAGTTGACGAGGCCTTCCTCAGTGAAGTCGGGGGTCCCTTCCTCGATGAAGGCCAGGTCCGTCAGGTACATCCCGAGGTAGGGCACTGCGGGCGGGTTACAGCTGCAAGAGCAGGGCGCATGTTCGCACGCGCGTTTGCACCGAGCGCTACCTCCCGGACACCAACGCCTTCGCCCCTCACTTCAGAAGCAGCCTGGCGACACGCAGAGCTCACACACCTCACACAGAACCAGCACAAACCAGCATCCCCTGCTCCCGGCGTGTTCGCGCCGACGGCGTGTCCGGCCACAGGCTGTCTGAGGCACACACAGACAGGCACTACCTATCGGTCACTGTGTGCAGCGCTGGTGGGCTGGCCAGGCTGCTCTGAGGGGACAAGGCTGAAGAAAGCCTCCATGGCCTCAGCTTATTAAAGAGCCGGAAGGGGAAATTGACGTGCCCAGAGCTCTGGAGTGTTCACTCTCTGCTTGGTGTTCTGGGGCCAGCCAGAGGCCAGAGGTTGAGAACATGAACTTGAGTGAGAAAGATCTGAACCTGAATCCCAACCCCATCAGTTATCAAGTGAGCCATGGCCTCCTTGTTGGTAAAACAGAGGTAACACAGCTTCTCCTGTTAGTTTGCAGAGGGGCCTAAGGAAGACACGTGGGGTCTGAGCACGGAGCCCGCCATTCGGTAAACACTCAGACACGGTCCTGAGCCGACCACGGCTGGCCGCCGCGCACCTGGTCTCCATGGCTACCTCCCCTTCGCTTTCCTTTTCAAAGCAGGAAGTCGCCCGTGATTGGTTCGCTACACAAATCATCTAAACGCAACTCCGCACTTTCAGTAACACCAAGATAGACCTACTTCTTCAGGGTTTCCCTGAGGTTTTTAAATCTTCCTTCCGATGAGACCGTCTTCTGTAGCTTGTCCATTAGAGCCTTCGTCTGCAAACAAAAGAGACGGGCTTGGTGGGTACGGCCTTTCCTGATAAAGCTGCCAACAGATGTGCAGCTCCCTCCACGGCGGCAGGGCCGGCGCACGGTTCTCACCACGGGCAGGGGGGACACTGTGTTGCACGGTTCTCACTACAGGTAGGGGGGACACTGTGTTCACATTTGTGAAAGGAAAGGTGGCTACAGCCACACACTTAGCGGGAACGAGCGCACGGGGCTCAGAGCAGGAGAACTGCAACTCGGGGAGCCAAAGGGCGTGGAGGACTGGAAGGTGTGTGGGAGAGAGGCTTATGGGAGGGCTCCGGGAGGGGCTCTTCCAGGGAATCGGCAGCACCGATTGGCAGCACCGATGAGCAGCGCCCCGGCACACAGGGCACCGCCCTGCTGCTGCCCGAGCCCGTCCTCCGCTCCACCCCCTTGCTGCCATGACCACCTTCACGGTTTGTGAGAGCAGCCCAGGTGACGCCGACCCAGACACACGCTGCGGCTCAAGGCCGTCTGCGGTTTCTTCCACGGACACAGGGCAGCGGGCGGTGGCCCCAGGGCACGGTGACCCTGTCCTGGTGACAGCTCGGCAGTGCCTCCAGCTTCCAGCTCCCTGGGAAGGCCCAGGGTGAGCGTCCTCGGACCACTGTGCCCCGGCCTGGTGGGGAGCCGCACAACTTCAGGGGTTTTCAGAACAACCCGAAGGGGAGCCTTGCTACCGACACCAGGGGGGGGCTCTGGGAGACCCCTGCCTGGTGCGGGGCCGGTCCTGCCTCCAAGAAGCTGCACAAGCACAGTCGGCCTGGCGGTGACAGCCAGGGACAGACACCTGCAGGGTTCCGAGTGTGCAGACCCTGCTGGGCCCGCCGCACCCCTCCCAGCTCCGGTCCCAAGCACGAGGAACCACAGAGGTGTCCACAGCAGGCACAGGTGTGGGCAGGTCGCACCTGCAGGCCCCTCCCCCCCCCGAGGACAGGCTGCGCACAGGTGTGGCGGAGACGGCCAGCCTACGGCATCTCTACAGGTGACCCGTCAGAATCCGCAACAATGACTCCGATGTTCATCTAACCATCCCCACCCTACGGTCAGTGCAGGCACCCCTAGCCGAGGGGAGGGGCAGGCTGGGGGCCAGGGAGGAGCCATGCTGAGGCCTTGAGGGGGCTTGAAGCACTGTGCGGGAACACAGAGTCGGGGGAGGAACCCCGCAGGACACCTGAGCTCCTCCTGAGGCCTGGGCCCTCCAGGTGGGCCCCCTGCCACGCCCCTCCCCCACTCTGGGTGGGCACATTGAGGACACTAAGCAGAGGCCTGATGGGGACCCCCTGGCCACAGGCACCCATAAGACATGGATGAGACAGGAAAGGGTGGGCACTTGTCTTGTGGTGAAGACTTCTGGTGCCCACCTGGGAGCACCGAGGGGCAGGGCAAGCCCAAGGATGCAAGCTCCCAGCCATCACCCACACGAGGAAGGCAGACTGTGTGGGCTTGTGCGGAGCGACCCGGAGCACGGAGCACGGAGCAGGCCAGGGAGCCCAGGGGCCCAGAGCAGAGGGCGGGGGCGGGGGTGGGAATGGCAGTTCCATGCAACCTTGAAATCATGGAGCGATGGGGCGGCACTGTGGTGTAATGAGTAAAGCTGCTGCCCGCAGTGCTACCATCCCGTGTGGGTGCCGGTTCGAGTCCCGGCTGCTCCACTTCTGATCCAGCTCCCTGCTAACACATATGGGAAAGCAGCAGGCCCTGCACCCCATGGGAGAGCTGGAAGACACCCAGCTCTGGCTGTTGCAGCCATCTGAGGAGTGAACCAGCGGATGGAAGACCTCTCTCTCTCTCTCTCTCTCTCTGTAATTATACCTTTCAAATAAACCTAAAATTTTTTTTTAAAAAAAAGAAATTATAGGATGGAAATAGGCGGGGCAAGCTGGGTTCCATGAAAGAGGGCCATGGAAGTACTGTTTCTGCTCATAGTGGTCACCGTCCCCAACTCCAAATCCATGACCGGACGACAAGGAGCAAGGCGGATGCGGGGCCCTGGGGCCCTGGGTCCTTACCTCTGCCCTCAGTCTGGGGGAGGAAGGAGGGGAGCGAAGGACGGGGCGTCCCCGCACTCAGGTAGTCTACACGCCTCCCCCTTCCCCTCCCAGGACGGGGTGTCCCACACTCAGGGGGTCTACACCCCTCCCCCCCCAGGACGGGGCGACCCGCACTCAGGGGGTCTAGGGGTCCCGCACTCAGGTAGTCTACACGCCTCCCCCTTCCCCTCCCAGGACGGGGTGTCCCGCACTCAGGGGTCTACACGCCTCCCCCTCCCCCCCCCAGGATGGGGCATCCCCCACTCAGGGGGTCTACACGCCTCGCCCTCCCCCGCCTCAGTTCCGGGAGCGTTCCTGACTGACAGGGGCAGGACGGCTGCCCCCAGAACACGAGGGAAAGTTCTGGAAGTGCCCGTGACAGGAGCGGACGAGGGGCAGGGGCACAGGGCTTCCCCACGCCGGGGAGCACGCCGGGCCCTCTCCTGGCACAGGCGCCGGGGACTCCAGCAGCGGGAGGCTCGCAGCCGCACTCACCTGCTTGGACACCTTGGCCCAGGTCTTCTTCAGCCGGTAGATGGCGCTCCTGTTTAAGGCAGAGCTGATCTCCAGCACGCCGTTGTAGTTGTGCAGGCATCGGCAAATGTCGGCCACCGCCACCCACTTCTCGATGGCGTTGGCGCGGGAGCTGATGTCGGCGTAATTCATGATCTGGGAGGCCACCAGGTTACTCATCTGGGAAACCAGAAGGCCGACGAGGCGCCTAAGAGCCGGCGCCGCGCGCTCAGCAGCGCACCTGCATCCCCTGCAGCCTCTCAGGACGGCAGGTGCCGCCTGGCTCCCTATCAGATTCCTGCAGAGGCTGCCAGCAGCGTGAGGACTCCAGCCGCCCTCGGCACCAAGAGCAGCAGGCACTGGAATCCAGTTGGTGGGGGGAAGAGGTGACTTTAAGGATTTTATTTATTTATTTGAGAGGCAGAGTTAGAGAGAGAGAGAGAGAGAGAGAGAGAGAGAGAGAGAGAGAGACTTCCTTCTGCTGGTTCATTCCCCATATGGCTGCAATGGCCAGAGCTGGGCTGATCCAAAGCCAGGAGCCAGGAGCTTCTTCTGGGTCTCCCACATGGGTGCAAGGGCCCAATCACTTGCGCCATCTTCCACTGCTTTCCCAGGCCACAGCAGAGAGCTGGGTTGGAAGAGGAGCAGCCGGGTCTAGAACCAGTGCCCACACGGGATGCTGGCGCTGCAGGTGGAGGACTAACCTAGTGCGCCACGGCGCCAGCCCCGGTGGTTCTGGTAACAAGTGACCTGGATACAGAGCTTGCTGCCCGAGGACGGAGGCACAGCAGGCACCGCATTGTGCCAGGGGCTGGGAACGCCCTCCTGCATCCCTGACTGGCGGGACTCAGGGGAAGCCGCACACAGGCAGGCAGGAGCCGCGCAGAGCCAAGACTGCAGGGAGGGGCCCCAGCGGCTCCTGTGCGGCCCCCGGCGGCTGTACGGGCAGGGTGCCTGGGTGAACCGCTGGGACGTGGCCTGGGAGTGTGTGTGTGGGGGGGGAGTCCTTGACATCTGCTGCCAGAGGACAGGCCTGGACTGACTTTTCAGGGCAGCATTCCCGAGATGCCGTGTGAGGGGCAGGTCGGGGCGGAGAGGTGGGGGGCAGCGGGGCGGGAACGAGGAGATGCAGGTCACGCAGGGTGGGCTGGTGAAGAGGAGTCTGAGATGTTTGTGGATTTCGTTCCTGATGGCGTGGGGGTGGTAAGGGCAGCTGAGTGGGAGGAAGGACTCGCGATGGCCTCTGGGTGCCGTCCTGGGGGAGTGAGTGGGCCTGCGTGGTCTGGGGGCTGCAGAGTGGGTGGCAGGTGCAACGCAGGGGGCATGCAGGCGGAGATGGGCAGCCGGTGAGGGTCCCTTAGACCCCAAGTGCAGGCTCAGCACAGGTGGTGGAGGTTCCTCCCCACAGAGGGGCTCTGCTTCTCCGAGCGGCCCGGATGGGCCCCCTCCTGACCCTCCCTTGGCAGTGGCCTTGCAGCTCGCCGTGTGCCAGCACCGTATGCCTATTGAGCCCACGGCGCCGGCCTCCTGGTATTTTTTAAACTCCACCACTATTCCTTTTGGCTGGAAATGGGAGCCTCCCCTCTGCGCGTCAGCCTGAAGACACTTTCACATCTGCTCCCGGCCCTGGGACCCAGACCCTCAGGACAGAGCCAGGGGAGAGCTCTCGGGTGTAAGGGAACCCCTGACGTTACTGCGGCCGGTGGACTGCGGGCGGGCGGGCGGTCACTGCTGCTCGGCTGCAGCCAACAAGGTGCTTGCGCCCTGAGGGGCCCCTGCCAACCCCGGAATGGCCATAATGAGGAGGAGTGCACGCCACACCCACCATCGCCACCACCAGGGCCCACGCGGCTCCTGCTGTGGGAGCTCCGAGCTGCGCCCACGAAACACTGATGAAGACAGCGGCAGCCGTCCACCTGCTGAGCGGCAGCCATCAGATGTGGGCCCCCAGAGGGAGCCTCGCAGGCCTGGAGATGACCACACCTCTGAGCTCTGAGAGCCCTCGAGCGTGCCTCTACCACTCCATCCGTTCTGTTTAAAGAGTGGGTTGCAGGGGCCGGCGCTGTGCACCTGGTTAAGTCACCTCCCGTGATGCCGGCATCCCATACGGGCGCCGGTTCAAGTCCCTGCTGCTCTGCTCTGAACCCGCTCCCTGCTAATGCGCCTGGGAAAGCAGCAGAGGCCCCTGCACCCACGTGGGAGACCCGGGTGACGCTCCTGGCTCCTGGCTTCAGCCTGGCCCAGCCTTGCCTGTTGTGGCCATTTAGGGAGTAACCAGCTCTGTCTGGAAGCTCTGTTTCTGTCTTTCCAACTCAGCCTTTCAAATAAACAAATAAATCTTTAAAAATAAACAAACAGCTAAGGGATGGTGCAGGTGCTTCTTTAAGGGGCGGGGCCGCAGACGCCAGTCCCCTGGTCCCAGGGCACCTGCGCTCCGGCCGCGGGCCACTCACGTCATTGAAGTGCTGGCTGGTTCTCACGATGTACGGGGTTCTCTCGTTCTTATCCAGCTTCATCCAGCCCTGCCCGAGGAACTCCCTGCAAGTTCCAAGGGAAACACAAACCGCTTTACGTTTGCAGCCACCACCCCCTGATCAGACGCGTTAGATCCGGCCTCTCCGGAACGGTGCCCCACGCCTGTCAGACACAGCCCGGCGCTTGCATCTCACCACTCAGCACCCAAAAGAAAAGGGAGCTTTCGGTGTCCAGCTTTCTCTGATGAATGCCGGCAACTCTGCCGCTCCTGGGACCTCATAAAGGCTCTGTGAAGGTGGAAAGCACCAGCCAACACAAGAGTAACGCGGGCGCTGAGCACCACGTCAGACGCCCAGACTGCTTTCCCAGGATGCTCTGAGCAATGGGTGTGAGCCCCCACCCCCACCCCCCACCCCCCGCCGCCGCCGCCAAAACACGCTAACGAAGAACCAGTGTTTCCTGCGCTTTGCTCTGACCTGGGCTGGAGAAGACAGCTCACCAGGGCATGGACTCGGCTTTGTTCTGCCCCAAACTCAGAACAGCAGTCGAAGAGTGCGTCTCAGTGCCCACGTGCAGCCTGCCCTCGTGGCCGGGGCCGGTGGTGGCCCAGGGACCCAGCTGGAGCAAGACCTGTCTTGCCCACGTGTCCTGCTCGTCCAGCCCCTTTGCGAGCGGGGCCCTGGATCAAGCAGGCGTGTGACCGGCAGGAGCTGTTTCGTATGGGCGTTTGGCAAGAATCTTACAAGAGGCTGCGCCACACAGATGGGGGCTGAGTCCCCGTGGGAGCCTTAGGCCTGGGGTCAGAGCTGCCTGCATCCCGCAGGGGGTATGCCCAGCCCACAGACAGAAATGGGCAGCAGACGCTCACACAGGCCTGGGGGACAGCAGCAGGGGTCGGGGCTCCCAGGACGAGACCAGGCCGAGGGCAACCACCCTCACCCTCCTCCACACGAGTCATGGCCCCTCCCCCTGTCCTCACTGCACCTGGTGGGGGGGGGGGCAGTGGCACAAGTGGGTGGGAAAAGATCCACTGTCCCTAACTCAACTCTTCAGAACAGCCGGTGGCTCCGGCCCTGATTATTTTTGTCGCACGTCCACAGACGGGTCTCTGAGTGTTGCGACAGGGAGCACAGGACGACAAAGTGCCCAGAAGAGAGCCTGCAGGTGCGTGCTCCAGCACCAGGCCTGCAGCTCCGACCCGCTGGCCACCGTCACCGACACAGCGGTCTCTCTGCCCCGTGCGTCCACTCTTTCCAGCTGAGACTGGTTCAGCAGGGACTCGCGCCAACACCTGCTCTGTGTCCCAACAAAGGAGCCCCAGAGTGTCAGCCGGAGGGGGACTTACGAGCCTGTCCCCTTCTGCACTGAGAACATGGCAAGGCTCGGGCGAGCGCCTGGTCACAGGGGTCACACTGTCTACCCCGGAGCGGGGTTCCCCAGAGCGTGCTTATGGATCACCCAGAATCATCTAGGGTTCTCGCTGCAATCACGCCTTCCATGGCCAGAGTTCTGCTTCGGCAGGTTAAGCTACCACCAGCAGTGCCAGCATCCCATATGAGCACCGGTTCAAGTCCCGGCTGCTCCGCTTCCGATCCAGCTCCCTGCTAATGCAACCAGGAAAGCAGTGGAGGACGGCTCAAGTACTGCGGCCCTGACAACCACTTTGGAGACCCAGATGGAGTTCCAGGCTCCTGGCTGTGGCCATAAATAAATAAATAAATAAATTCATTCATTCATTCATCTTAAAAAGAATCTAGTTTCTTAGGCCTCAGTCAAGTCGACCAGAATGAGAACTCCCGGGAGCCTGCAGGAACAAACTTTTAAGTTTCCCAGTGGTTCCTGGGCCAAAAACAGGTTTGAGAACCACGGCTGCACCTCGGCTTCTTTGGTGACCCCAGCACAGATACAAACACAAGAAGCAGTCTTGAGTCCCCAAGTCGGGGTTCCCCACGTCCACTGGGACCAAGAGATTTTCAAGTGGGGCCAGATCACTTTGCTATTAGGATTCACATCTCTGTGCATACCCACCCCCGCCCCCAACGTGCACACATACTCATCCTCATCTGTCTTAGGAACAGCACACACACGCGCACACACACGGGTACACACGCATACACTCACACTCATGGGCACATCCGCCTTAGGAACAGCACACACACAGATAGGCACACACACACAGGCACACTCGTCACACCCAGGTGCACAGCGGCCGCGGGGGCGGCACTCACTCGTAGGGGATGCTCCTGAAGATGACGTGGTCCAGCAGCGTGATCTGCTCAGCCAGCTCCATGGCCGACAGGGTCTCAAAGCACTCGGCCTTCGGACAGTCCGCCTGGGTGAGACAAGGGAGGGACGTGAGACCACCGGAGCGGGGCATCCGTCACCCATGGCAGGGCAGGGCAGGGCAGCAGACGGCGCTGTCTGCAGATGCTAGAAGCCCGTCCTGAGGTTCTAGCTTTGGTTGGAAGGCTCAAAGATCTCCACACCGCCCCACAGGTGGCCCAGTTCACAGAGCTGCACAGACTGGACCTGGGCAACACCCCACAGCCCCAGCCCCGAGCACGCTCCGTGCCGGCTGAACTTACCGTCTGAATTATATCCTCCAGCTTTAGGTGGACGTCGTCTTGATCATCTTGTGAAAGGGCCCTAAAAAGAAGAAAAACAAAACATCCTCAACGAAGAACAGACAGACATTTTGGAACCCACGCCACAGAATGCAGCCAAGCGCCCTGGGTGGGACGCCTGAGGGCTCGGGGGGCACGGTCCCTGGGCAGAGCTGTGGCTGAAACAGAAACACAGGTGTGACGGGCACACAACAGTCATCAACAGAGCTGAATTAGGGCAAGGAGCCAGCTGTCACATGTGATGTCATAAACAAAACAGCCACCACCAAGTGAGCCTTGCTATTCCCTGTCAGTCTTAAACTCCTAACTCTCGGGTCATTATTCAGCAACCAGGACTGGCACATCGTATGCCTGATGAGCAGTAACGACCTGGAGCGGGAAATAGGGCTCATCCCAAGTGCCAGCTCCAACGAATGGCTTCCGAGGTCACTTCCTGCTGTAGATGGAAAACTCTCAGGATGGACTGGTCATGTTTGACGTGGTGCCTTGAGGTACTGGCAGCAAGAGGGCCTCCCATTGGCTGATCTTGACAGCTTTTCTCGATCTACAAACCCTCATTGCCCTGGTGTCTTTTAGTCAAATGTCCCTATGGGAAATAACTTCCAGAAAGTGATTTCTAAATATCAGTGTTTTAAATACACAGAGCAGGAGAAAACACAACGGCACCACAGAAATGTATACAGCTGTTGGAGTTTTCTATGAACAATTATACAGCAACAAAATTTATAACCCAGAAGAAAAGGACAAATTCTTTCACATCTACTCCTTATCAAGACTGAGTCATGGAGAAACAGAATACTTAAGCAGACCAACAACAGGGAGTGAGATGAACCACTAATTTAAAAGTCTCCCATCAAAGAAAAGTCTGGGACCAGATGGCATCACTGAAGAGATTCACCAAACAACTGAAGACAATTAACACCAAAGTCTTCTTAAATATTCCAAAAAATAGAAGAAGAGGGAGATCTTCCAAACTCAGCCTTATCCTGATACCAAAACCAGACAAGGATATAGTAACCACAAAAAATAAAAAATAAAAAAAAATAAAAAAATTAAAAAAAAGCTATAAGCCAGTATCCTGGATGAACACAGATGTAAAAATACTCAACTAAATACCAGCAAATAAAATCCAACCACATGGCAAAAAGATGATTCATTATGATCAAGTGGGAGTTTTCCCAGAAATGCAAGGATGGTTCAACATATGCAAATTAGCAAACATGATCCACCTGAACAGAAGGGACAAAAATCATATGATCACCTCAAAAGATGCAGAAAAGGTATTTGATAAAATCCAGTATCTTTCATGATTAAAAAAACTATGAACAAATTAGGTGTACAAGGAATGTACCCCAATATAATAAAGGTCAGATATAACAAGCCAACAGCTAACATCATACTGAACAGGGAAGAGCTGAGGCGTTCTAAGATCTGCAACAAGACAAGATGCTACTCTCCCCTCTTTTATTCACATAGTGCCAGAAGTCATAGCCAGCACAACTAGGCAAGAGAAAGAAATAAAGCACACCTCAGTCAGAGAGGAGAAAGTGACGTTATCACTGTGTGCAGATGGCATAACTGTGCATAGAAGCTGCTCCCACCCACACAGTCCATGGAAAACCTACTGGAACTAATCAATCAATGAGCAGAGTTGCAGGAAAGAAAGGAAAAGTGCAAAAATCAGCAGTATTAACCCAAATTATCTGAAAAAGAAACCAAGAAGGTAACCACATTTCCAAAAGCTACAAAAAAAAAAAAACCCATAATAATAAATTTAACCTCAGAGGTGAAGGATGTTTACAGAGAGACCTTTAAGGACACAGGGCATGGAAGGACTCCCATGTTCATGGACCCCGAGAACCAGCTCCGCTAACTGCGCGCTCCACCCAAGGGACCTGCACGGCAGTGCAATCCCTACTGAAATCCCTTCACAGAACTAGGAAAATGCCACTAAAAATGTGCGTGGAACCCCAAAGGGTCCCCAACAGCCACAGCAGTCTTGAGCAGGGCAGAGCAGAGCCGGCGGTGTTACACCACCCGGCGGTGCCCTAGAGGGCGAGCACTGTCCCGGTGCTGCCAGGCCAGCCCCTGGCCCTGGCCCCTGACTCCAACTCCCTGCTAACACAGACGCTAGAAGGCAGCAGTCACAGCTCAAGAACCTGAGACCTGGTCGCCCAGGCGGGAGACAGACCTGGATCACATTTCTGCTTCCCGACTCTAGCTGGGGAAGACTGCAAGCTGCAGGGAGACGCGGGGCGAACCAGCAGACAAGAGTAGGTGCTCTCATTCTCTCTCTCTCTCTCTCTCTCTCTCTCTCTTTCCCTCCCTCTCCCCCTCCCCTTCTTGAATAAGACATTTTACAAATCTACAGTTATTGCAACAATATGGTACTGGCATGTAGTCCAACGGAACAGAATAGAGGCCCTAAAGTAAGCCTATCCGGCCGCACACAGTGATTGTTAATGTACCAAGAACAGTCGCTGGGAAAGGACAGTCTTTTCCATCAGTGGAGCTGGGAAAATTAGATGTCCACACGCACAAGCATGAAGCTAGACCTGTGTCTCTCATTATGCACAAAAATCAACTCAAAATGGGTTAAAGGCCTAAAACTAAGACGTGAAACTTTGAGACAACTAGAAGAAATCATGGGGGAAATACTTCTGGACTCGGTAATGGGCAGAGAGGTTTTCTGGAGGCCGGCGCTGTGGCGTAGTGGGTGGGGCTACTGCCTGTCCTGTCGGCATCCCATACGGGCGCCAGCTGGAGTCCCAGCTGCTCACTTCCGATCCAGCTCTCTGCTGTGGCCTGGGAAAGCAGTAGAAGATGGCCCAAGTGCTTGGGCCCCTGCACCTGCTCCTGAATCCTGGCTTCAGATTAGCCCAGCTCCAGCTGTTGCAGCCATTTGGAGAGTGAACCAGCAGATGGAAGGCCTCTCTCTGTCTCTCTGTCTCTCTGCCTCTGCTTCTCTGTAATTCTGCCTTTCAAATAAATAAATAAATCTTTAAAAAAAGGGAGTGTTTTTTTTTTTGGGGGGGGGGTTCAGAGCCCAAAAGTACAGGAAACAAAAGCCAAATAGAGAAACTGGATTTCTTCAAACAAAAGAGTTTCTGCACAGCAAAGGCAACAATCAACAGGGTGGAAAAGACAACTTACAGAACGGGAGAAAATGTTTGCAAACTACGCACTGACAAGGGGTTAATAACCAGAATGCGCAAGCAACCAAGCAACTCAACAGTGAAAAACTAAATAGTCCATTAAAAATGGACCATAGACTCAAAGGAGGACATCACATGGCCAACAGGTCCGTGAAAAAACGCGCAACATCCCTAATCGTCAGGAAATACAAAGCAAAACCCAGATCAGGCATCACAGCGTCCAGGTAGACCAGCTGTCACACGAGACACAAGGTCACAGATGCCGATTTGGATGCAGGGCAAAGGGCCCCTGCACCATGCCGGTGGGAATCAAAGTCAGCACAGCCACTGCCGAGTCCAGCGCGGCTGTCCCACAGGAAGCTAAGAACGGAACCGCCACGGAACCCTGCACGCCCACTGGTGGGTGTGAACCCAGAGGAAAGGCAACCAGTCCCTGGCGAGACACGCGCACACGCCTGACGCCTGCAACCAAGAACAGGGACAACCCAAGTGTGCAGCCAGCGCGGCAGGGAGGAGGAAAGGCAACGTCAGTCACACCACGCTGACGTCGTGCCATTCGCAACAGCAGGGTGCAAGTGGAGGCCATCATGTTATGGGAAACAGGCAGACACGGAGAGACGAGGACTGTAGGATCCCATGCATACATGGAGTCGACAGCAAAAAGAAAAGGGAGCTCATTGCAGTTGAAAGTTCAACAGTGGAGACCGGAGGCTGTGTGGGAAAGGTGGACTAACGGTACAAAGTTATTGCCAAATGAGCGTGAGAGGTGTTGGGGTTCACCCGCATAGCAGGATGACAACAGATAATCTTCATGTGTTGTATATTTCTCTAATAATAAAAACATACAAGATGCGATTTTAGAGTGTTTTCACCATAAAAACATGTTAAACGTTTACCCTGATTGGACATTATATAATGTCATTATATATTATACATTATAATATAATAACATTGCATATTATATAATATATAATATCATAATATATTATATATACATAATACAATATAATTATAATGTATATATTATACATTATAATATATAATATTATACATTATCTTATTATATATTATACATTGTAATATATATTATATATTATAATATGTTATATACTATATGTTATATAATATAATACATTATACATTATAATATAAAAATATATCATTTTTAATAAAACATTTTAAATAAATAAGGCAAACCTAGTGTAGGAAAGTAACTAAATTTTTCGTTTAGACTAAGAGCATGACCACCAAGGTTTGGGTGTTTCCCGATGGCCCATGTGAGACAGGCTGGGTCCCCACGCCTGACCTATGTTCACGGTTGCTGGGTCAAGGGCGGAAACTTGGTCTCATTATGTGGCTGGGAAGTGATCAGATTGGACGAGGTTGTTAGGGCGAAGACACATGATCCAATCATGATGGCTTGGTAAGGGGAGGCCACACAGACGCGGAAGACAGTGTGTTCCCTGTCCTGCTGCTTCCTGGCTCGCCAGGTGGTCATCCCCCCACCACACACACACACACACATACACGCCCTGCCGCTGCGGCCCCCAGCCTCCCCTGATGGCTGCACCAATGGGACAGCCTGGTCTCGGGCATGAAGCTCTACAACTGTAGCCAAAATAAAGCTCCTTCCCTCCTCAACAGCGGGGCCAGGCATTTGGTTCGTGACAAGAAGCTGCAGGAAGTAATGACAAACTGTTGCCAGGAAGAGAACAGGAGAGTCACTCAGCCCACTGGAGCCAGGCTCCACCAGCTCTGTGTTCACAATCTTAAATCCGAAGCAGACGCACGGTTACAGTTGGGAAGCACACTGAGACGTGGCCACAGGGTGGACTGAGTGATGACGGCCCCTCTAAGCATCCCACAAACACCACACACAGAGTGGGAAGTAGTCCACTGCCTTCCCTGGCCACAGCAGAGAGCTGGCCTGGAAGAGGGGCAACCGGGACAGACTCCGGCGCCCCGACCAGGACTAGAACCTAGTGCGCTGGCGCCGCAAGGGGGTGGATTAGCCTAGGCGGAGGATTAGCCTAGGTGGAGGATTACTTCCCAAGGTTGCAAACGAGGAGGGAGCTAGAAGTCAGAAAGGCAAAGGAGACCCAGGCCCAGAGGTGGGGGATGGACTTCCCACCCCAGATGGGGACGGAAGCAGCAGCCATGAAAGACTGGGGCAGATGGCTCACCCACAGGGAGGGGACCGGAGGGAAGCCCCCCCACCGCCAGCAGAAGCTCGGAGGAAGATCAGTGCCTGCCTGGAGGCCCAGTGTAACGACCATGGAAACAGGAGGTCTCTGGGGGGACACCCACGCTTCAGGCCTGCATCAGCACAACCAGGCGGAGAAGGTGACAGAAACACTGGTCTAGAGCCAGCGGGACCGCGGACGCCCTCTCTGGCGGTACACCCACAAGGCAGGTGCACAGAGCCCCTCAGCAGTGCCAGCTGCACCTGCAGCCCAGCTCTCGAAGCTTTGTGGATGGGGTGGGGTCTGCAGTGGGACCCTCCTCCCCACCCCCACACACGGGCACCTGCTTTCCTCCCTGACAACACCAGGCGGACCCCACAGCACCCAGGAAGGAGGAGAGGAGAGAGAATACTATACAAATGAGCGTCTGGCCCCGGCTGCCCCAGGATGCTCCAGTTTACCCTCCTGACCCGAGGGGCTCATGTCTCCTGTGAACCAAGGAGCTGACGCAGCCCCTCCCGCCCCCCGCCCCTCACCTCAGGATGTTGGCTGTCGCTTTCCTCTCCTGGGGAAGGAGGTCGGGGTCACGGAGGACTTCCTCCAGCAGGTTCAGCACATTCATCTTCAGCTCATTGTTGAGCTCGAAGTCCTAGGAAACACAACGAATCCCTGCAGAGCACGGCTGCGAAGGGCCAAGCTCCGGGACTCGTGGGACACTGTCCAGAAGCTGGAGTGCAAATCACAGCACACAGCCCTTGGAAATCCCTCCCCCTTCCCCAATTCAGTTGGTCTGGGAGGGGCCCCCGACGCTGGGATTTCTAATGCCACCCACCTAGGAATAATGGAATAGGACCGCGGTTCTATCTTGTTGGTTTTCGGAACTGAGGTCATGATTAAGAGGGACGCCCGGGGGCATTCGTATTGCGCCGCTAGAGGTGAAATTCTTGGACCGGCGCAAGACGGACCAGAGCGAAAGCATTTGCCAAGAATGTTTTCATTAACCAAGAACGAAAGTCAGAGGTTCGAAGACGATCAGATACCGTCGTAGTTCCGACCATAAACGATGCCGACTGGCGATGTGGCGGCATTATTCCCATGACCCGCCGGGCAGCTTCCAGGAAACCATATAGAACAGGCACAGCGACTGGGCAGGGACCTTCCTAGAGCTCACGAGGCCCCTGCTGGCCCCTCCAGTCAGGGCCTCTCACACACACCCCCGTGCACAACGCAGGCATATCCACTCACGCCAAAATCCCGCGGTTCCTCAGAGAGAGAACCCTGCAGCCTGGGACACTGTCTTGGGCTGCGTTTCTGTCTCTCCAGCTTTGAGTCTAAGAGGTGACAGACTCTGCCTGGATCATCCTTGACTGCACAGTGGGGTCCAGAGCCGGTCCTTTATGCCATGGGACACCCACTCCCTACCGCAGGAACACCCTGTGGTATACTGTAAGGGCCAACTGAATTGCCTGGTTTTCCATTAAACTATGAGTAAGACCAGAAACATGGCCACCAACAATAAAAGAGCCGTTGAAATAATCAAGCTGTCATCTGGGGAGGCCTGGAAGGCTATTAGCATCAGTGTCTCCACCAGCATCAGCATCGGCATCTCCGTCAACACAGAGCTGGGAAGAGCTACAGGATAAAGGAGCCTCACGGAGTGATCGGACCACGCCCAGTGAACACAGGTGACAGGCTGAAGAGGCAGCCACTGGGCAGAGCTGGGACAACGTACAGGTAATTCAAAAAGGTTGTGGGAAGATAGATAGCATGAAAAGATGTGCATTTTGATGCAAAAAAATGGAAATGCATGCATGGTTTTTTCATAATACACATTTTTCATGAACCATTTGAAGATCCCTCCTATGCATAGCTTTCAATTTTTTTGCACCATAAAAAACTTACTTTGTAATTCCATTTTCCACAAACTTGTTGAAGCACACTCATACATATATAAAGGGGGGTAGACCATACAACTATTTTTTTTAAAGACTTATTTATTTGAAAGACAGAGTTACAGAGAGAGGTAGAGACAGAGAGAGAGGTCTCGCATCCACTGGTTCACTCCCAGATGGCAGCAATGGCCGGAGCTGTGCAGATCTGAAACCAGGAGCTCGGAGCTTCTTCGGGGTCTCCCATGTAGGTGAAGGGGCCTAAGGACTTGGGCCATCTTCTACTGCTTTCCCAGGCCACAGCAGAGAGCTGGATTGGAAGAGGAGCAGTCGGGACTTGAACCGGTGCCCATATGGGATGCCAGTGCCACAGGCAGAGTATTAACCTATTGTGCCACAGCGCCAGCCCCAGTACAACTATTCTTTATAATAGAATTTCAAGCAGTAAATGCAGAGGAACAAATGAGTCAGATAAGAACCTTTCGCAGACCACACAGTAATAGCCGATTCCAGCAAGGATGGTGATTGGATAGGAACGGGGCTGGGGACAGATGTCCCGGAACACAGGGTGTGACCTCAGAGTCCCCTCCTGGAGACAGCTTACGAGTGACAAGGGGGAGTCCGGGAGACAGCACGGTAACTGATGGATCAAAGTGACCAACTCCAAGGAGGGTACTCAGCCACCCCATGGGCCCAACAACGCCACACTCTGTGACAACAGGTCCCTTCCATGTCATTGTGTGTGACAGAATACATCACCTCCTTCCCACGACACTGCCTGTGACACACATCACCTCCTTCCCACGACACTGCCTGTGACACACATCACCTCCTTCAAACGACACTGTCTGTGATGGAATACCTCACCTCCTCCCACACCACGCTCTCAGGGAATACATCACCTCCTCCCATGTCACCCTCATGGAATACATCACCCCCTCCTACACCAGCATCTCAGGAAATACCTCACCTCCTCCCACCTCACCCTCTCAGGGAATACATCACCTCCTTCCCACAGCACCCCCCTCAAGGAATACATCACCTCCTCCCATGTCACCCCCTCAAGGAATACATCACCTCCTCCCATGTCACCCTCATGGAATACATCACCTCCTCCCATGTCACCCTCATGGATTACCTCACCTCCTCCCACCTCACCCTCATGGAATACCTCACCTCCTCCCATGTCACCCTCATGGAATACCTCACCTCCTCCCACGTCACCCTCATGGAATACCTCACCTCCTCCCATGTCACCCTCACGGAATACATCACCTCTGGCAATTTTTCTCTCCAAGGTAATATTTCCAGGAAAAGCACTGGGGAGAGTGGGAAGGCGAGGGCCAGGGTCTCCTTTCCTGTTTTCTAGGGGTATTCTCATGCTCACAGGGGGCCGGCTGCACCTGCCGGTCACACGGGCTCTCAGCCACGCTGCGCACACACACGGGCAGGGCCGCGTGCTGCCGTTCCCCATACGGAACTATCCAGCATAAGCACTCTGCAGGAAAGTGGCGTGGAAGCACCAACGCGCTGAGTGCTTTTAAATGACCAGCACGAGCACTGTGGACGACGGAGGAGAATGGAGGGGTTTTCCTGCGCGGCCGAGCGCTGCTTCGCAACACTTCTGTGAGCCGTGGACGCCCGGCCACAGCGGCCGCTGCACACCCCCTGTGAGGGTCACACGGTAACAAGGCCGCCTAACCACGCATGTCTCAGAAAGTATCCCTGCTGTTAAGTGACACACGCCTGTCTCACAGGGAGCAAAGAGCGCGAATTTCACAGCCTGTAGACATCGCGGAGTCTACGCTGTCCCGAGCTGACTGGTACCACTGAACAGTGATCAATTATCCTCAATACTGCGCCAGCTGACAAAGCGCCAGTTCTTTGGGCCAGAGCCACTGGGGCCCACACGGCAAGAGACGCAAATCTCTCTCATCCACCCTGGGGCTTTAGATGAGGATTTTCCTAAAATGTAACCTCCCTGTCAACTGACAGCTTTGTGTGGGTCACTTTTTGTTTAAAATTGCGTGAGGAGGAGATGGCGCTACGGAGCTGGTGGCTTTCCTCCAGGCCGCTGCTCCCTCCTCTGGGGGCACAGGGCTGTCTGTGGGCAGGGGACGGCTCCCGTGACTTCAACCTGCATGCCCACCAACCCACGGCCCGGGCCTGTTTCCCTGGTGGGCATCTGAGAGTCCTCGGGGAGCTCCACTGAGCCCCTGACGGTGCAAATCCGATTCTGAGTCCACAGGGGGTGGCAGGCCGCAGTGTGGACCTTGCTGAGGGCTCGTCACTGTGCACCTGCTGCACCCTGCAGCAGACATGAGAAAAACGGAACGTGACTGGATCACGCGAGCTCCGAGAAGACGTGCTGAGGTCTGCCGAGCGCCACGGGGGCACAAGGAGCAGGGGCACTGCCTGCCCCCTGCTGCCCACAAGGTGTCTGTCCGTGTGTCCACGCACAGCTGGCCCTGACAGACTGACCTCCTGTATAGGATCCCAGCACAGGAGCCTGGATGCCTGCACAGCACCGGGGGGCTCCGGCTGCAAGGCAGATCCTTACGGGGGTCTGGCTTCAGACTCTCACGGGGTCCTGGGGATGCTGACACTGACTGGCAAGACCTTAAGTCATCCACCATTTTTTAAAAAAACAGTCACGCAGAGGAAGACCCCTTGGGGCCAGCATTTGGCAAAGTCGTTCAGCTGCTGACCGCATCCCACATCAGAGGGCCTGGGTTCAAGTTCTAGGTCTGTTTCTGCTTCCAGCGTCCTGCTGATGTGTATCCTGGAGGCAACAGGCGATGGCTCAAGCAGTGGGGTTCCTTCCACACACACGGGACACCCACATGCTGGGCTCCCGGCCTCTGTCTCTCCCAGCCCTGGGTGTTGCGGGGACTGGGTGAATGAAGCAGTTGATGGAATCACTCTCTCTCCCTCTCTTTAAAGATCTCATGTATTTATTTGAGAGGGAGAGTTACAGACAGCAAGAGTAAAAGAGAGAGGTCTTCCATCTGCTGGTTCACTCCCCAAATGGCTGCAACAGCCATGGCTGGGCTGATCCAAAGCCAGGAGCCAGGAGCTTCTTCTGGGTTTCCCATGTGGGTACAGGGGCCCAAACACCTTGGCCACCTTCTACTGCTTTCCCAGGCCATTACAGAGAGCTGGATTGGAAGAGGAACAGCCAGGACAAGAAGTGGTGCCCATGTGGGATGCCGGCCCTGTAGGTGGAGGCTTAGACCACTGCGCCACAGGGCAGGCCTCTCTCTTTCTGTCTCTCTGCCTTTAATATAAATAAATAAATAAATAACTTAAAGGCCTCGAGGGATTTTTTTAAAAATTCAGAATCCTCTGATGTACTATCAAAAGTGTGTAATTTTGATTTTTACAAATGTATAGAAAATACAGACTTGGCCATTCAGAAGTCCCTCTTAAAACTATAGTAGCTGCTACTCAACAAAAAGAAACACGAGGCAGGGAAGACACTTGTCCTGTTTAAGAGCAGAGACAAATTATTCCTCTAAGTCTGGCCGACGGCCCTTTCGTAATTACCCAGAGTGTCATTTTTCGCCGCGTTTTCCCCAAGTCCTGGAGCCCACAAGAATGCTGGCTGGTTGCGGGGAGCACGGGTGCCCACAAGAGGGCGCTGCTGGGTCGGCTGTGTCCTGAGGAGCCTGCAGCCAGGGCTGGACCTGGGAAGGGAAGGTCGCACAAAGCTTCCCGGGCACTGAGAGCCACCTGTGGGTGCAATCCTATTTACTGCAAC